TTTAGCAGGTGTCTCCAATGTAGGAGTTATAGAGAATAGTCTGCCGTCATCTGATAGGAAGAAGGGGAGGAAAGGTAGACGACACAAGGTTTCAATCAAACCAGTAGATGGAAATCAGCCTTCACCATCTGATAAGGATAACGTAGCCTTTGACAACCAATTGACTGAACAAGTTAGATATCATGGCAATCCCCTGCAAGATAGTGGTGAGTGCATGTACTCTATTTTTAAATGCATTATTTATTTTATCCTCATTGATAACTGGAGATTGTGAATGATGGACTTGTTTTGGGTTCTATCCTTCTTAAATGATTCATAGAGAATAATGCTGTGTGCAAGTAGAAACTGTTGATAATCACAACTGATTATTTTTCATTGACCAAATGCCAAAAGTTTTTTTAATGTTGTGTTCTCTCCTGAATTTTTTTACCCTCAAGGTCTATTTGCAACGAAAGATATAGGATTCTAAGTGAAAGGAGGTTCTTTTAAGCGGAATACATTTCATTGATTTTTTCTTTAAAATTCAGGTCTATAGTCAATTTCTCCTTGCAGGATATCTTTGTGCAAGTTGTATTCTCTTGCTCATCGTTGATTATATTGAAAGTATTAGTAGACATTAAATTTTGCTATTTGTATGCCTATGCAAATCTGCAATGTGAAATCACTGTCCATCTTCTTTTTGTTTAGACTGGACTAATATTATCTTATCCTATGATTCAATCAGTTAATCCACTTCTTGAAGATAATAGTACAAAGACTTCGAGACAACATGTGGAGGATGAAGAGGAAAGATTTCAAGCTGATCTTAAGAAGGCTGTACGCCAGAGCCTTGGTTAGGCTCCCGTTGTGTCTTTTCCATTTTTGCTTTTAGTCTTCATGGTTTTAATTTGGATAATTTGTATCTTGGTAGGAAAAACTGTTAAAAAAATCACAATTTTTTTTTTACGTGATACCATTTTTCCTACAATTTTTGCCTATAAATTTGCACCTATGTTTCTGTATGCAAAAGAGCTCCATTGTCTTTCAATTATGCTTGATTAGATGGAGCCAAGGTCAATTATTTTTACGAACTTAGCTAGTGCTTATACCTCATCCCAATGCCAAAAACTTTGGCTGGTTTTCCTTCTCTCCAGGTATATGGATTCATGATATGATTGTCTCCAAATGCTCACACTATAAATTTTTTAATATCTAAAGTAATCCATTATGAGGCATTTCAACTTTTTAAATGTTAATCTTTAATTTGCTTCGACCTGGATGAATGATTAGATTTCTTGAGGTTTTCTGCATTTATGGGCGCTTATTTCTGTTTCCTTTTCTGTATAGTAACTGCAATATTTTTTAACTTTAGTTTTAACGTTTTCTCAGATGCATTTCAAGAACAGCAGAAATTACCCTTGATTATGAGTTCCAGGACACCATTGATCAGTCATGGTGAAGTAGATAGTAATGGTCTTCCATCAAATGAACGCAATGTAGAAAATGTGCAGGCAGCTGGTATGTTTGGTACAGGACTTAAGAATGAAGTTGGTGAATATAATTGCTTTTTGAATGTGATTATTCAGGTGAGCGTGTGACAAAAGAAAATTGTATATCATTTCACTTTGCTAGTTCTTTGTTCTTTCTGCATATGCAGTCTAAAATGTTGTCTTGTTCTACATGAGCTCAGTCGTTATGGCATTTAAGACGGTTTCGAGAAGAGTTCCTGAGAAGATCTATGACTGAGCATGTTCATGTTGGGGATCCCTGTGTTGTTTGTGCATTATATGAAATCTTTGCTGCCTTGAACAAGGCATCTGCAGATTCTAGAAGAGAAGCAGTCGCCCCCACCTCTTTGAGAGTAGCTCTGAGCAATCTTTGTCCTGATAGTAATTTCTTCCAAGAGGTAGTTTTGCATATCCCTGGTTTTTGATGCCTACAACTTAAAAATGAAAGAAAGGCTTAAAAAAGAAAGAAAGAAAGTGATTGGTTCTACTTTACTTAATTTCATATATAGATTATGAGAAAACCTTTAACTAATTTTTGGCGGTTGTTTAGGGTCAGATGAATGATGCCTCTGAAGTTTTGGCAGTCATATTTGATTGCCTACACCAGTCATTGACTGCTGGTTCGAGTGTTTCTGATACAGACACAGTAGAAAGCAATTGCATAGGGTCTTGGGACTGTTCAAGTGACACTTGTTTGGTACATTCCATCTTTGGAATGGACATTTTTGAACGAATGAATTGCTACAGTTGTGGCCTGGAATCTAGACATCTGAAGTACACTTCCTTCTTTCACAATATAAATGCTAGTGCTCTTCGGACAACGAAGGTAACAGAGTCAGCCGTTCCCAGCGTTGATGACTTTTTTGGAAAGAGTATTCTGTTATTGAACGCTTTTTCTTTAATTCAATTTTCTTCACCATTCAGGTTATGTGTTCAGAAAGCTCCTTCGATGAGCTTCTGAATGTTGTTGAAATGAATCATCAGCTAGTATGTGATCAGGATGTTGGTGGATGTGGAAAACTCAATTACATTCATCACTTCCTCTCCGCACCACCACATGTATTCACAACAGGTGATTCAAATAATTTTCATCTGGATCCTCCTGCGCACCCTACTTCCCTCCTCCCATTACCCTCGATCTATTATTCATGATGTTTTACTTGTATGCAATTTGGTATTGTAGTCTTGGGCTGGCAGAAAACTTGTGAGAGTGCTGATGACATCACAGAGACATTAGCTGCTCTAAGTACTGAGATAGATGTCAGTGTTCTTTATCGGGGTCTAGATCCAAAGAATGTCCATAATTTGGTATCAGTGGTATGTACTATTCTTTTTTAATTTGTGTGCATGTATTCTTAGGGCGGAGAAAATTTAAACTGCCAAAATATTCTACTGCGAGGCTGTTTCTCTGCATGGTCTGGAGAATGTAGGGTATGAAATTTTAATTCCTCGGAATGCATCATGGCTGTGGATTTCTAGGGTACTTAATACTCACTGATGTTCAAGACATGTCAACCACGGTTTTTGCATATTCATAGGCATTCATAGACACTCAGAACACTGGGCTTCTTGCATTACTTTCCTGTTGAGATGGGACATGGATTCTGTTCAATTTGATGCATTTTAATTGTGTTATTATTCTTTCTTAATCTTTTTTGACTAGTGATATTATTCTTAACGTGTTTATCTGCATTTTGTTTTTCATTAAGCATATTTTGCACACAGAAAACAATAATCTAGCATCTCCATACACCAACATTCATCTAACATTTTAAGACAACCAGAAGTTTATTATTATGCATGACATGATCCTCTCTCGCAACTCTTAATAATTGAATTAGAGGACGTCTTGAGGTTTTAACGTAAGGAAGTTAGGTTTGGATGTTAGTTTTGGTGCAAGGCCTTAAATTAATCATCTTTAAGCATAGCCATTGTCTTGCTAAGAAATCAACATTGACCATTTCCCTTTGACATGGAGGGGTTAGTATTGGTGCTTGTGGAGTAGATGTTTGTCCGTATGTCATCTTTAAATATGTTTGTGTTCATTGTGGATTTTCCAAAATATAGATTTTCAGTTTACTGAATAGTCAGTTCTCTAATATGCTCCTAACTTTGTAGGTTTGCTATTATGGTCAACACTATCATTGTTTTGCGTACAGTTGTGACAAGAAATGCTGGATAATGTATGATGATAGAACCGTTAAGGTAAGTTCTTACTTTCCCCTTCCTCATTTCCCTTTATAGGGTGTGTGTTCTAGTTTCTCTTATGTGACATAAACTGCGCTCATGCGTAGGTAATTGGTGGCTGGGCTGATGTTCTTACCATGTGTGAAAAAGGACACTTACAACCTCAGGTTCTTTTCTTTGAAGCTGTAAATTAGCAATATTTTGGAACTGTCTCGTTAGTCATACTGGTGGAGCGTAGTGGTTTACATTTGATTTCTGCCATGGCGAGTTGTTTATAAGGAAGACTTGCCTTGTACGCTCATGGAATTCAAACAGTACGTGTAATATCGGTTTCAAAAGAAAAATTTTGGTCGGGTCCTAACATGATAATCTCTTTGAGTTTTCTGATACAATCAATTTTTTTTTGGAGAAGATCTGGTCCTCAAGGAGAGTATTGTAAGTACGATAGATTTTCTTCTAAATTGAGGGAGCCAGATGGTTGGAGACACCCAGGTTTCTGCTTCTGTTATTCCTTCTTTGCTTTGATCCTTTAAATAAGGTTGTCAAATAAGGTTAAGGAATGGGGTGGTATTAAATGGGTGGATTTTGTGATATCTACTACTTGGGGGAGGTTTTATAGCTGTGTATCATAAGAGGTAATGATTTCTGGTTGCCGAGAAGAGATCGACCAACATAGCGAACAGTCGAGACAGAGTCTAGTTAGAGACAATGCTAGATGCTTTTCATCTTCCTCATTTACTCTTCTGCAGTTCTAGATGTGTTGTATAGTTCCAATTAAAGTAACTTGGCCTCTGCCTATGTTCACTCTAAAGTGCAATTGTTTTGTCATCCAGAATTTGGTGATCGACATGAGCCGCAATCTTCTAGTGTCCTTACTCTAAAGTAAATAAGTGGAGACTATGTTCACTTGGCCTCTGCCTATGTTCACTCTAAAGTAAATAAGTGGAGACTATATATCTCATAACAGTGGTTGTTTGTTATATTATCATGTCATTTTTATAAAGTTTCTAGAATGGATAAGGACTCTAAAAACGTATTGAAAAAAAATAGAGTAAATTGTAAAATAAATAAATTGTTTTGAATAATAAATATTTATTAAATATGCAATAAAATGTTGATTTCATATCATATCTACACATGGTTTTTATTGTAATATGATCTTTGACTTTTTTATGAACATTTTAAAAAAAAATTAATTTAAAGAAATTTTGCGAGAAGTTAATTAATGAGTATTCTAGCAAAATTAATTTATTAAAAGACAAGTTGAGAAGATAGGTTGTTTGACGATGAAGATAATTTATTTTAATAACGTTGTCGGAGTCGGGCTTCGTTCCAAGAATGACGGGATATGATCGATTTCACACCCTCCCAAGAAAAGGTTTCAACAAAAAAAAACATGAACCACCAAGAAATTTGATTTGGCGTTGGCAATTACCAAAAATGGCCCACCCTAACAAATCTATGCCTATCGTTTCTCCACCGAACAAAAATATCACGTTTCCTACCCGGGAATGTTTCGAATTCTGCAATAACGACGAACCAGAGCTAGAAAACAAACCCATCGCCGGAGATGGAAGTTATTGGGTTTATGACCAACAAATGGGTTGCAACGGCCATCGGGATTTGGATCCAATGCATCTGTGGTGCTTCCTACACCTTCAGCATCTATTCTTCGGCTCTCAAATCCACTCAGGGCTACGATCAATCCACCCTCGACACCGTTTCCGTTTTCAAGGACATCGGCGCCAACGCCGGCGTCATTTCTGGTTTTCTTTACTCCGCCGTTACTCCCGCCTCCCGTCGACGTAGCTCCGTTGGCCCATGGGTGGTTCACGCGGCGGGAGCGATTCAATGCTTCCTCGGTTATATTTTCATCTGGGCGGCGGTCTCTGGATTGATTGATCGGCCACCGGTGCCTGCGATGTGCTTCTTCATGTTCCTGGCTGCTCATGCGCAAACGTTTTTCAATACGGCGAACGTTGTGACTGGCGTTCACAATTTTGCGCACCATAGCGGGACTATTGTGGGCATCATGAAGGTATCAACACAAACCCTCAGTTATCTTGATTATGCAGATTGTTGGGGTTTACCCCCTTTCTGAACCTTTGTTTATTCATTTTTTCTTAATATGGTGAGTATTATTCAGGACTCCTAGATAGATCATGTAGACCAAAGCTAAATCTTTGTCCTCGAGTATTTAAGTGACAGAGATGAACTTTGTTTAGTTTACTGCTCTGTTCTTCTCTGCCATAATCTATTTTATAGGGATCACCATTTCAGTAGTTCCAAGGTTTTCATTCGAGAAATTAGTTGTTGCTGCATTACTGAATCTGAGGGCAGATTCAAAGCAGTTTCCCCTGATTTTGGATCTTGATTATGCTGTACATGATTAGACATGTTATATCTTGCTTCTCCTTTTTGTTGGATAGGGATATCTTGGTCTTAGTGGAGCACTGCTAATCCAAGTTTATAACACGGCGTGCAATGGAGATCCAAGCAATTTTGTCCTCATGTTGGCTGTTTTCCCCACACTTCTATCCATCATGTTCATGTGGTTTGTTAGAATTGATAGAACAGAGTCTAGAAATGAGATGAAGCATTTGAACTCACTGTCTGCACTTGCTGTGATAGTTGCTTTTTACCTAATGGTTGTCATAATTTTCAACAACACTTTCTCCCTTTCATCATGGACTCGTTTTGTTACATTCTCCATACTCTTGGTTCTCCTTGTTGCTCCTCTTGGAATCGCCATTAACGCTCAGAGGGAGGACTTTAGAATGTCATCTCCCTCATTTTTCACTGAAGAAAACCCTGTTCTTAACAAGCCCAAGTCAGCGAATGCAGAGGATTCTGTTGAATATCATGAGCTGCCCAGTGATGAGTTGCAGACAATGGCTGCTGCAAACTCCAGAGCTCCCCGAGCCATGAATGTCTTGGAAGCTTTACGTACTTTGAACTTCTGGCTTCTGTTTGTTGCCATGGTGTGTGGAATGGGTTCTGGATTGGCCACCATAAACAACATGAGCCAACTTGGCCAATCTCTTGGCTACACAGCAACAGAGACGAAAACATTTGTGTCCTTGTGGAGTATATGGAACTTTCTTGGACGTTTTGGAGCTGGTTACACCTCTGATTTTCTTCTACATTCATATGGCTGGGCGAGGCCATTGTTAATGGCCATCACTCTTCTGATAATGAGTGGTGGCCACATTGTAATTGCCTCTGGTTTCTCTGGAAATCTGTACGTGGGTTCAATTCTTGTTGGCATATGCTACGGCTCACAGTGGTCGCTGATGCCCACAATCACTTCAGAGATATTTGGTTTAGAGCATATGGGAACTATTTTCAACACCATAGCCATAGCCAGCCCTCTGGGGTCTTACATTTTCTCTGTTCGGGTCATCGGTTACATTTACGACAGAGAAGCTGCCGAAAAACATGGCTCCTGCTCCGGCACACACTGTTTTGTGGTATCTTTTCTGGTCATGGCCATTGTGGCTTTCTTGGGCTCTCTTGTTGCTGCTGCTCTCTTCTTTCGAACTAGGAGATTTTACCGACTGGCTTTGCAAAGAAGAGTGGAACGTCTCAGTTAAAAGCTACCAGGGAGAAGTAGAATCAGGTGCTTGCTTGCTTGCTTATAGATTCAATCATTCATTGAAGTTTCAGATTCTGTTGTATCATTTTTAGTAAATATTTTGTATGGTTTGCTCTACTGTCACGTGTTCTTTTACTATAGTATAATAGGATGAGATTGTTTACTCTTCCTTTTAAGAGTAAAGACCATTATCACAAGACTAACACAGTCATTCCAGCCTGTTTTATCTTCGCTTACATGCATCTTAAAAAAATTTACACAGGTCACTCAACATAAAATTTGCTCTAACCACGCTTAACTATCAAGTTGTTATCATATCTTTAGGATTATTGAACCTAGGCTCGATTCATTTATGTATTCATAAAAATCCGACTACAAAGGAATCCTAATTCTGAGCCAAGAAATGGAAGCTCCTCCGAGCAACAGATGGATTGCTACAGTTGCCAGCATTTGGATCCAATGCATTTGCGGTCCTTCCTACACCTTCGGCATTTACTCCTCCGCCCTCAAATCATCTCAAAACTACAGTCAATCCACTCTCGACACTGTCTCCGTCTTCAAGGACATCGGAGCCACCGCCGGAGTTCTCGCTGGCTTACTCGACTCCGCTGTCGTCTCCACGGATCGCCCCCGTCCCCCATGGATCGTCCTCTCCGTCGGAGCAATTCAGTGCTTCCTTGGTTATATTTTCATTTGGGCTGCCGTCTCCGGTTTAATCCCTCGGCCGCCGGTGTGGGCGATGTGTTTGTTCATGTTCTTAGCCGTCCATGCCCAAGTCTTCTTCAACACGGCAAATGTCGTCACTGGCGTTCATAACTTCCAGCTCTACGGCGGCACCATCATCGGCATTCTTAAGGTCTTTTCTGCTCTGTCTGGAAATTCCCCAATTCGAATCCGAAAACTCAAGTCGTTTCTTTGAACAGGGATTTCTGGGTCTAAGTGGAGCAGTTCTGATCCAATCCTAGAACACATTCTACAACGGAGACCCAATAAATTATCTTCTGATGCTGGCGATTTTACCGGCGCTCACGACTGTTCTGATCATGAGATTCGTCATAATCGAAAAAACAGAGATCGGTAACGAATCGACCCATTTGAACTCTCTCTCAAAAATTGCTCTTATAATCTCTTGTTATCTCACAATTCTCATCATTTTGGACAACGTTTTCATTTTACCAACATGTGTTCGTTTATTTACTTTCGTTCTACTCCTCATCCTTCTCGCTTCCCCTCTCGGAATCGCAAACAGAGCACAAACAGATGACTCTGTTTCCAAAACCAAGCTTCAAAATACAGACTATTCCGTTGAATATCATCAAATTCCCGGTGAAGAACAGAGAAATGATCAGCTAATGATGGTTACAAATGGAGAAATGAACGTAATCAAGGCAATTGGCACGGTGAATTTCTGGCTATTGTTTTCTGCGATGATGTGCGGAATGGGTTCTGGGTTAGCCACCATAAACAACATGAACCAACTGGGCCAGTCTTTGGGCTACAAAACAGTCGAAATCTACACATTCGTTTCACTGTGGAGCATTTGGAATTTCCTTGGGCGGTTGGGATCCGGCTATGCCTTTGATCTTCTCCTCCGGGAATTAGGCTGGGCGAGGCCATTGTTAATGGCCGTCGCCTTGTTGACGATTAGCGTCGGCCATATCATCATAGCTTCAGGATTCTCCGGGAATTTGTACTTGGGGTCGATGATTGTGGGGATTTGTTACGGCTCGCAATGGTCGCTAATGCCGGCAATTACGGCGGAGATTTTTGGAATAAGGCATATGGGTACGATTTACAATACGATCACGGTAGCCAGTCCGGTTGGATCTTATGTTTTGTCTGTTAGAGTTATTGGGTATATTTACGACAGAGAAGCCTCTGCCGGAGACAACTCCTGCTCCGGCAAACACTGCTTTATGACGTCTTTTCTGATCATGGCAGCGGTGGCATTCTTGGGTTTTGTTGTTGCTGTTGCTCTGTTCCTTCGGACCAGGAGATTCTATCAACTTCTTGTGCAGAGACAGCTCAAGGATTAGATGAACTTGAAAGTGTTGATTGTATTCACAAAATTTTATTTTTATGCTTCACTCTTTCAATAATACTCCATTTTAAAAATGATGAATACATTGTTATGGAAATAGTTATAAAGAAAGCAGTGATAAATTTAGAGGGGAGAGATTGAACATAATTAATATTTATTCAATTACAGTCCGTTGAAAAAAAAAAGAAATGGGAGAGACAAAAAAGGAAAAAGAATAATCAGAATAGACAAATGATTTTACACTCTAATTTCATCCCGATTCCCACCAACGCGGGAAATTATGGTTAACCCATTTCTTGATGGAATCGGATAATTCCCAATCGATTGGGACTATGAGTCCACGGGAAACTTCGCCATTACAGAAAACTCAAGACAGGTGTCAGCAAGGCGAAGGCAATCCAGGCAGAATTAAAATGGAGTATGGAGTTCGAGAGATTCATAAGCCTCACTCGATGAACAGATAGGGGGAACAAGAAGAGGAAGAGGAAGAGGAAGAGGAAGAGGAAGAGGAAGATTCAATTCAACGGAATTGGAAATGGAGATTTCCAGTTTCAATAACAAATGGGTATCAACAGTAGCCAGCGTATGGATTCAGTGCACCAGTGGGTCTCTCTACACCTTCTCCATCTATTCCCAAACCCTCAAGTCAACTCAGGGTTATGATCAGTCCACTTTGGATATCGTTTCTGTCTTCAAAGACATTGGTGTCAATTGCGGCGTCCTCGCGGGCTTTCTCTACTACTATGCCACCGCTGATGGTGGTGGTAGTCGGCCGTGGATTGTTCATTTAGCCGGTGCAATTCAGTGCTTCTTGGGTTATTTCCTGATGTGGGCTGCCGTTGCTGGCGTCTTTCCTCGCCCGCCGCTTCCCACTATGTGCTTTTTCATGTTGGTGGCTGCTCATGCTCAGAGCTTCTTCAACACGGCTAACGTTGTAACTGGCGTTCGGAATTTCCCCAGTTATAGTGGGACGATTGTCGGAATCATGAAGGTTAGTCTTCACATGTTTGAAATTCAAATAACACGATTATGTTGACATGATTTAATTTATGTATCTTGAATACGTTATATGAACATTCAGCCCTGATTTATAAAGTTTCACTTTCTATCTAGAAATCATTTTGAGGAAGTTCAACTGTTCATTTTTTTTGGATTTTATGTTCATCACTCAATATTGTTCATTTTGATGTCAGGGGTTTCTTGGTTTGAGTGGAGCAATATTGATTCAAGTATACGAGACAATATTTAATGAACAACCTACTTCGTTTCTTCTAATGCTGGCACTGCTTCCGACCCTTAATTCCTTATTGTTCATGTGGTTTGTGAGAATTCACAATGCAGACGATGGTGTTGAAAAAAAGCATCTAAATTCCCTATCCATAGTTACTCTGTTCCTTGCTACTTACCTTATGCTCAAGATAGTTCTAGAGCATATTTTCACTTTCCAGTTCCCTCTACAAGTTGCTTCATTTATTCTACTTCTGATATTGCTTGCTTCTCCTCTATATGTTGCAATTAGAGCCCAACAGAGAGAATCCAGAAAGATTTTGCACCCTTCTGTTACTGAGAGTGATCAGCTGATTAGTCGCTCCAATCAAGAGAGCGAGGAGTTTGACAATGAACGGAGAAGGGAATCTGAAGAAAGCCTGAACCTCTTTCAAGCTTTATACACCATAGACTTCTGGATATTATTTTTTGCAACAGCTTGTGGCATGGGAACAGGATTAGCCACAGTGAATAATATCAGCCAGATAGGATTATCTCTTGGTTACACAAGCTTGGAGACAACTATTTTGGTTTCCCTGTGGAGCATCTGGAATTTTTTTGGTCGTTTAGGAGCTGGATATGTATCGGATTATTTTCTCCATGCAAAAGGGTGGGCTAGGCCATTGTTCATGTTCATCACTCTGGCAACCATGAGCATTGGACATGTAGTGATTGCCTCTGGTCTGCCTGGTGCTCTTTTCGCTGGTTCGGTGCTAGTGGGTGTTTGCTATGGGTCTCAATGGTCATTAATGCCAACAATTACTTCTGAAATATTTGGTGTTGTACACATGGGTACTATATTCAATGCCATTACAATAGCAAGCCCTGTTGGATCTTATATATTTTCAGTTAGAGTTATTGGGTATATGTATGACAAGGAAGCATCAGGTGAAGGAGGTACTTGTACTGGAACTTACTGCTTCATGTTATCATTTCTGATTATGGCTTTTGCCACCCTTTTGGGCTCTTTGGCAGCCCTTGGCTTATTTTTCTGGAGAAGAAGTTTCTACGATCAAGTTGTTTTTAGAAGGCTGCAACACTCATCGAGTGGATAAAGGAGTAAATACTACATATGACATACAAAGTGAAATATGGAGGTTTTCCTGGTCACTGCTAGCAAGGTAATTGCTGATATGCCGTTGTTCTTCCGTTGTTCTTCCTTTCATATATTGTTGTAGGTTGATTTCTTACATCGGAAGGAAAAACAACATAATGTGTTGGCGTATGTACACAATCATCTATATTTAAGTTTGTAGTACAAGTAAGAAAAACAATTTAAGATTAAACTAGAACTCTCATTGTTGTGTGATTTGGTTTGGTTTAGAGATGAAGTTTCTAATATATTATATCTAATTGATAGTTGAAAATGAGAATAACAGGAATATATTCATTTATACTGTTGGGGTGACATACATTTCTATGGAAAGTCCTGTATCTGACATCAAGTTTACATTTGATCTCATTGTCTTTTATTCTGTGTTAAATTTCTTTTAAAAGAAAATGATGGAGTGTTAAACTATGCTTATAGGAAATTGGGGTCAGGATACTGAAGAATTTGGAATGTTTGGACTTGGTTTATGAGGGCTTCTTTGTTGAATATAGCTGATTGATTTCATCTTTCCACCTTAGCTCAGCCTAAATTTATGTCAAAAATATTTCTCTCACGTTTGTAGTATTTTGTGTACGTTGTTGTATTGTGAGAAGACTAAACATTTGTTGCATCGTGAGCGAATTTGTTCGTAAGTTAGTTTTCTTTTACTTCGTAGCTCTTGAAGTGAGAGGATTTATTGTTTAAGTTTTTTCATTATAATATGTCTTCCCTTTCGATATTTCTAAGTTTCTTTACTTTTGTTAACTTTAAGTTGCAATGTAGAAAGGGAATCTATGGGGGGAGTTCCTTTGAATTATAGTGTTGCTCAGTCACTTTTGGATTGAAGGATATACGTTTGTTGTGACATTGTGGCATTTAGTTTGGAAAAATGGTTTTTGGATTTGAATGAAACATGACTTCGACCACGATTCACAATACCAGTGTGAATCAATTGATGTGTCTGATTATCCATGTAAATAATCTTCTTCTTCTTCATTTCTTTTCTCTTCTTGTTCTGTTTTATTTTGAAAAAGGCTGTTACTATCACATGGTATGAAGCTAATTTTCTCCCATGTCATTTTGGAAAAATCAGAACTAGAACTTAGAAACCTAATCTTTTGAATCGTTACTGGTATGTAAACTTAATTATCTCCTCATCTCGCCCAATTTTCAACCAGCTATCCTGAACTCATAGCAAAATGCATTTTGAGGAGGAATATTCCAAATGAGAGAGAGGTTTCCAAATGAGAGAGAGGTATCCAAATGAGAGAGTGGTATCAAAATATTGGCATATATCATATTGGGCATCTGGGAATTACGGAAGGATAGAAACAGCATAGTTTTCAATGGGGTCAACAAGGGGGATGCTCAATATTTTGAAATGGTTGTTTATAATAACACTTCCAAGTGCAGTGCTTACAAAAGCTTTCTGTAACCACACTAGATCCTTGTATAAATTGGAGTTTTTGTAATCATCAGTCCTTCACATGGCTATTCTTCGCCTGGTTTTTGGAGGTAATTCTTCTTATTCTATTTTATGAGTAGTCTTCTTGTTATTCCAAAAAAGGAGGTTAAGATTCCATTTCCTGTGTTAAAACTAAATACATCCCAAGACGTTTCCTTTGTTGCCTGTCTGGGAGATAGAATCACTGTTCTTTCTTTCATGCCATGTGGGCCGTAATTGAATTTTAGATTTAATATGGTTGTGTGGGTTTTCTTTAAGGAAAGTGGTAAATTTTCATATGCATGCCATGGAGAAATGGAGTTATTTAAACACCAATTCCGTCTATTATTGGCTTGTTTACTCTAACCACGTATATATGTTGCCTGTTGCCTGCCTGCCTAGTGAATCCCTCTCTGAAATTTGAGTTATCATGTTGCTTCTGTCCTTGTCCTAGGCTTAGTGAAAAAGTTCTTTTTCTTTGTTTTGTGTAGTTTATCTTCAATTTCTCAAAATCACCTTTAGGCATTTATTTCACGAGAGACGTTCCTCTCACTTTCTCCTCTTTCCTTCCTTCTCCACCAAGAAACAGAAAGGCGCTCTGCCGTTTGTACATGTACACTTTGGACTGGTTTACCTTGTTGAACCAGTTCTTTGCTCTTGATAGGCTTCTACATGCTTCGAAATTGAATAAACCTTAATATGTATTATTTGGGCTGAACGAAATAAAAATAGAAGGTAGAAGGTGAGGGGTGGGGACTCTGAAGAAGGATCCAGCAGTAGGATATGTTGAACTAGTTAAGATTTTATTTCATACGAAGGAGGTTTTTAATTCAAAATCATTAGTGACCTGTTGTGAGTCCTAAATTGGCTAATTTAAGGAATGATCATGGGTTTATAAGTGAAGGAATACATCTCCGTTGGTATGAGGCTTTTTGAGGAAGTCCAAAGCAAAACCATGAGAGTTTATGTTCAAAGTGGACAATATCATACCATTGTGGAGATCGGTGATTCCTAACAGTTGGATATGTTGAGCTAGTTAAGATTTTATTTGATACGAAGGAGGTTTTTAATTCAAAATCATTAGTGACCAGTTGCTGGAAGCTGAATGTGTACGTTCTAGGTGCATTTTCAACTTTTTTTGAGTTTTTGCGTTAACTTTTCTTCTCCCTATGGCGCCATTTTTTCTGGTGTTGCTAGCCACCTGGGTGCTTGTGGATGTGAAAAATGAGAAATACTGTGCTTTGTGAATTTCATGCTCTTGATTTCTTAAACGATTGAGAATATCCTTAAATTCATAGAAGCATTCAGGAATGAAAGATTTTAAATTGTATATACTTCAAGGTATCTTCGTTTGTCCTTGGATTTCCAGGAGTTCCAATTCACTTCTACCGGTTTGCTTTTTGCGACTGAGAACGAGGCGGTCGAGCTATTGTTCCACTGGTAAACTTATGGAATGATGCATTGTAGATTCTAGTATTTTTGTTTTGGTATTCTGAAATGTTAGTTAGTTTAGTGCAGGATAATATTATCCTGAATCTTCTCCCGATATATCACCATATTCTAGTTTCTATCTGTCTAGAAATTGATTAGAACACAATCCGCTCAACTTCTGGCAGAGCTGGTTGGGGGGGAGGTGCAACATGTTTTGGATGTTTATGGTGCTTCATGATCAATTTTCAAGGTTGTGGAAGATGCTTGTGCCCTCATATTAAGGTGTGCTTATGATGTTCTATATAAATCCTGCTTTTTGTAGGCTATTCTTTCTGAACTATGGATGGAAAGAAATCAAAGTGTTTTTCTTATCAAATGACTTCATTGGTTTTTTAAGCTGCCCGTCTTAAGTCTCTCAAAGCCTCTTGCTATCCTCTCTCAAGATAGATTCCTTAGTTGGAGTGCTTTTGTCTATCCTTCTTAGTCTCTTACTACAAGAGCTATTGTTTTTACTCTTCTTTTGGTTTTCTTTCTTTTTATTTGTTTTCTCTTTTGCCTTTTTGGTCCCGATCCGATTTTCGAAGCCTCAAAAATTGGGTCGTGGCAAAATGGTGTTAGAGCCAGACACCGGACTATGTGCCACGAGGAGGCTGTTCCCCAAAGGGGGTAGACACGAGACGGTGTGCTAGTAAGGACGCTGGGCCCTAAAGGGGAGTGGATTTGGCAGGAGTCCCACATCGATTGGAGAAAGGAAAGAGTGCCAACGAAGACGCTGGCCCCAAAGGGGAGTGGATTGTGATGTCCCACATTGGTTGGGGAGAAGAACAAAACACCCTTTATAAGGGTGTGAAAACCTTCTCTTAGTTTCTACTTCCTCTCGTTATCTCCTTTTCTCCTTTTGTTGTGTCAGTGAGTGTCTTTCTATTTCTTCCTGATGTATATTTTTAGCAACTTTTTATTTAAGTTTATAATCTATTATTTGATATTTAGTAATATATGTTGCAATACATATCACACGTAAGCATAACCTATTAGCCTGCGTGCTTCATGTCACAACCATACTATGAAGAGAGTAGGTTGTGACGACCGCGGCACTTCACACCTTAAAACAGTAAAAGAAGGTTTTCTTGAATGTATTCTTTTGAACATTACTCAAGTAAGTAACCATTTAACCATTTTTGTTACCACCCTTTTTATGAAGTCATTGTAGCATCTCGAATTCAATGTGTGCAGCTCTGATATCAGGTCCCAGCTTTCGTCCGAGTCAGAGGACTCCTATCTTGAAAGCAGAATCAAAATTGTCTCTGTCAACTTCGCAGTGCCCGCCCGTCCTACACATATGCTGTCGTGAAGCAAGAACCAGCCAGAATGGATGACTCTTACCTGGCTTTCTGGATGACATGAAATCCTCTAGCTCACTTGATTGGGGACAGAGTCAGTGTTCAACAAGTGCAAGAGAAAGGAGCTTCAATCTTCTAGGATTCGATCGACCGTGTTACTGTTGCTTTCGTAGTAGGAAGCCTACCATTTATTCATTGAGTTGAAAAAGAAGAAAAGAAGCTTAAGCTATGGCAGTAAGAAGCTGTAATTTGAGGGGAGGGCATAAATATCTGCAGATCTTGTTTGCTGCTCGGCTTGTTCTTTGAGTCCCGCTTCTTCCTTCCCCTCTCACCCCGATCTACCGACCAATGTAAATAGTTGGCAGCTCTACTGCCTGATAACGTGAAGAGAAGTGGGCATCAAATAAATGTGTTCATAATGTATAGGAATATGAAATCTGCCCCAGGTGATGGGCAAATGAAGCAACAGTTTACAAAAGTTGTTTGCCACAGATGAGTTTCATCCAGATCATATATTTATCCGCAACAGACAAATGAAAGAGAGTGAATGATTGGCTACCAAAATAACTCTGAGCCACAAAAAATAATTGAACAAAGAGAGAAAAAGAGATTTATAATAAAAGAGCTCTGATCAACAATTGTAGAGATGTAAAAGTGAGAAAGTTTGATTGCAAACAGACAGGTTCAAACCAATATGCATCTGCATCGATTTGATTGGATCCAACACAGGTGGCCTTGTCAATTGATCCTCAAAATGGCATTTTAATATCATTTCGTGGGTTTATGGGTATGAAAGAGATATCGAAACATGTGAAATCTCTTATTGATTGGAGAGATGAATAAATACTACTTAGGATGTTGAACTCTAAAGGAGATGGATTGTGAGGATGCTGGACTCGGAAGAGGATGGATTGTGAGATCGTATATCGGTTGGGAGGAAAATGAAGCAAGGTGTGGAAACCTCATAGACGCATTTTAAAAGCCTTGAAGAGAAATTTAGCCTTTTAACGAAGTAGAACAAATATCATAAACACAGCAAAACTCCTCGGGATTATTTCCGGTTTGTGGGTACTGGGATTTCACTGCCCTCCATGATCAAATCCCAATGGAATTTAAACCGTAAATGGAGAAACACCAAAATCTGACTGCTACAAGAGAACTTTCCATATTGAAGCAAATATAATTCCAACATAAAAGGAAGAATCTTCAAAACAAATGTATATTAACTGATTTAGATTTAAAAAACTAGAGCCAGAATATAGCAGAAAGTTGACTTATTTAGATCGTTAAAAGGGTCATTAAGCAGTGTTAAGCTAACCTAATCCTGCCAAAAAAAACCCCACAAAAATCCTCATTGACCATTGAATTCTTTGTAAATGATATTCAGTAATCTGTGAGAGAGTAAAAATGAAATGGGTTTCTAGTCTTCTCTCTTTTTAAAAGAAGAGGAAAGCCAAAGTCTTGAGCTTTGTTGGATGAACAAGTTTGATGGGTGAAGGAGAAAGGACATTGAAACAGTAAGGTGGCAATGGAGGTGGGGGGGGAGAGGAAACAAACCCTAAAATTATCTCATTTCCCCTTTTCTTTTACGTCCTGACAACAAACTTAAATGGTTGCCTCCTGGTATTCAACATAAAAATTCAATCTTTATGAGTATATTTATTAAAGGGGATTGTTTGAGATACTGATTAAGGAGAAGAATTTTACTGAAAGGTTAAAATTAAACCCCAAAGGCTGTGTGTCCAATTTCCAGGTAGTGTTTTTGGTTTAGCCCTTCAATTTCTCTCTCTACCTCTCTCTCTCTCTCTTCGTATCTTCCTTTCCTCCATTCTTCTGTTTCTTCTCTGGTTCAAAATTTCCCCCAATTTGTACATATAAAGTGGGGGAAGGAAGGATTAAGAACCAAGGGAAGAAAGAAAATATAGATATTCAAAAACCTAACTCTTCTTTCTTGAATGATGGTTTGGACCTTTGGTCCTCCATCTTCGTCTTTGCTCTCCTGCTTTCTCAGTTAACAAATAAAACTAACCCTTTTTGTTGGTTTGGTTACTAATTCATTCCTGTTTCTAATGTAAAATTTCCCAACTGGGGTTCTTTTACATGTAATCTTCCTGCTTTAACTTGCTTTGTTGTTCGTGATCTCGCCCACTATGACGCTGGATTCTCCTCCTCCTCCTCCTCCGATCCCTTCTGACCGATCCTCCCCTGAGTCCCTTTCCCACATCGACAACCCCAACCCCACCACGGCTAACCATGACCTTATTCTCGAGAACGAGCCCACCACCACGACTATAACCGAACAACCCACCACGAGGAGAAACCGACCCTCTCGGGCTTGCACCCTTCGTGCTGCAGAGCGGCTCTTGGCTGCTCAGTCAGTGGTCGAGCGCAAGCCGAAGCCTAAAAAGGAGCAGCCCAGCGAAGAGTCGCCTCAGCAGCAGCAATGCAGCAAGATCGTGACCCCTCTGGTTGAGGAGCCTTCGCCCTCACAGTTACCACGTTGGAGTCTTCGGTCGAAGTGGGAACTGGCGTCCGTACTTCATTTCTTGCATGTAAGTTTTGGGGGGTATGTCTTCCTGATCAAAATTTGCATATTGTTGGCGTTTGAGACTTTATTTCTTTCTTTTGCGAGGTGCAGGTCTTCAGACCACTATTGAATATTCATAATGAATTCACGGTGGAGGAGTTTGAGACGGCCTTGATTACACCCAACGACACTTTGAGTGACATACACATTCCATTACTCAAGGTTGGAACTTGAATTTAAACTGGAAAGTTTATGCTGGGTTTGCAAATAATGTGTTCTCCTATCCACATTTTGCTCATCATTCTAACTTAGCTTACTTTCTGTTGCTCCAGTTATGGTCATTACTTTTTTGTTTCAAGTTTCATTTTGAGGTTTGGTGGGAGTTCTTAGTGTTAGTTTCTGAAGCCAAGTATTTATTTGAAAGAGAAGTTTACTGGATTTGTTCGTTTCTCATCTAAGAGTTGCATCTTGTTTAGGTTTGAAGCTCGAGAAACCTCACAGTTCTGTGATCAATAATTAGTTATTCAATAACAGGTTCTCCTCTGGTAAAAAAACTTATGCATATTGCTTAGAGATGCTTCCCTTTCCTTCTTAGAGTTGCTTAGATTTCCCTCTTTTCAAAAGATACTTGCTTAGTGTTGCTTTAAGATTCTCTCATCTTTAATTGGACTTCTGTGTGAAGCTTTAAGTTTTCTAAGCTTTGCAATAAAGAGTTGCGTTTTGTTTGACAGCGAATAAGTTTGTTGGATTTTTTTTTGCCAAGGTTTCGGTATTTTCTTTTGGATGATCAACGTTTCGTTTGATTAAAAACAACTTTGAACTGTAATACTGGTGATTGCTTTTATTCTTATGAATAGGTTTGGTTTGTAAGATGCTCTCTTGTGCCTGCTAAGTCTTAATATTTTGAAACTGTTGGGATGGATATGTGCTGTAGAGGACCAATCATCCTATTTTTGTTGCTAGACTTCTGATGTTTTGAAGGATTAGAGCTTCTCAAATTTTTGGAGATTGAAGAATTGGAGCATCATGTGGACATATGAAACTTTTCTTTGAGTGTGTTTCGTCCGATTGTCTGCTAGATCCCACGTATCAGTTGGAGAGGGGAACAAAACATTCCTCATAAGGGTGTGGAAATCTTTTCCTAACAAACGTGTTTTAAATAGTATTCCTTATCTGCTAGTGATGAGCTTGAGCTGTTACAAATGGTATTAGAGCTAGACACCGAGTGGTGTGCCAGTGAGGATGCTGGACCCCAAGGAGGGTGGATCGTGAGATCCTACATCAGTGTTGGAGAGAGGAACCAAGCATTCATTATAAGAGTGTGGAAACCTCTCCCTCACAGACGCCCAAAGAAGACAATATCTGCTAGCGGTGGGCTTGAGCTGTTACATTGTTTGAGGATTATCTTCCATGAATGGATAGCGTGGGTTTTCCCCCCTTTAAATAATTGATGAAAAGAAGTTGCCTTGGGTGGTAAGCAATGTCAATTGTTCATAGAAGTTTTAATTTGTGAGGTGAAATCTACCTTTTCCCTTCTTGTTGGCCACTAGGTTATATTTCAATATTTAGCTTCCTTTCCTATAAAGTTAATTAAGCTTTATTCCCTCGTTCTAGTTTTGAGTTTTAGAAATGAACTTTAGTTGTTGAAGTTGCACTCGTGGCCCATTAGCGTACATCTTTAAAACTCTTCTTTCATATCTTGTGTTCAAATCCCCCACCATCAAAAGGAATGAACTTTAATTTTCATGCCTTTTCTTATGTAGTCGTTGAGGCTGGTCTATAATTCGTCCTCATCGCTTAGAACAGTTGAATCTGTCGATTTATGAAAATTATGGGCTGTACATATTCTCTTTATTAAGCATCACATTACTTCAATCTGAAAATTTTACCTTTTTGTTTTACTTTTGCAACTTATTGTCTGCGGTAATTGCTGGAATATTTGATCCTTAGGTCAAGTTGCATAATTCACCTCCATGTTAACTTTGTTACAAGGACTTCTGATGCAGGCTTTAAATATGTTGCTAGTTCATTTGAGAATGTGTTTCTTTTTCTCCCAACAAGAAACTCACACACGTTATTAATGTTATATAATAACCGTAATCAGCTCCCTGTAACTTATATTTTGTGTGTTTTTCAGGCGATTCCTCCTATTACAAGAATGGCCCTCACTCGGGATACATGGGTGACTGTATTGTGCAGAAAACTGCGAGACTGGTGGCACTGGGTATCGTCCATATTTTTCATATTTATCCATATATTCCTGTATCGTGGCTGTGATGGAATCCTACAGTTCTAGCTTCCAATCTGACTCCTGGTGCTTGGTTTATATATGCAGGTTGCTGAAGGGGGTCTGCCTATTGTTGCTTCACATGGGTGAGTGCCCAGAGATTTCATGTCCCATATACAAAAATGTTCTTCATTCTTATGTGCCTAATTATTATGAGTTTTCAGAGTTGAAATTGAAGTTTATAAAAACCTTGATCCTGGGATGCGTGTGGTTATCTTGAAAGCACTATGCGACATTCGTGTTGAGGTACTGTCTTCTCAAAAAGTACCAAATTTTTTGGTTACAATACAATTGCCTTTGTGAAGTTGACATAGTGTTTGACAGTACCGAGCGACATTTCTTTATTCGTTTTACAAGTGTTTTATTGGTTTAGACTTTGTTCTCTTTACTGCCAGTAGGCAAACATCCTACAGGCAACAAGGTAGGGGCAGAGTGTGAGCTCTCTTCAAAACCGTGTCAATGCACTTTTCAATACTTTTCGAGCATAACAAGATTCTTCGACTTGTTTAATAAATCAGGGCTGCAAAGAACATCAAATTTGAATCCACTTCATTGCCCTTTTCTCTAAGCCCTCAAATGATCAGGATTTAAAGCAATGTTAATCACTTTTTGCTCTTTCGATCATTTATTGTTCGCTGATCCTATATTTCCTGCATCATCTCGCTGTATGTCATGTT